AAGTCGACCGTGATCTTCGGCACAGCGCGCGAAAGGTTTCCTTGGGGCTGCCCTGGCAAATGCGGGGACGGGTCCGTTTTTGAGTCCGCTCGGGTGGACGTCCTTCAGTTACGTGGCGGGTCGGGCGCGCGGCAAGGCGGATGACAGCCTCACGGGAGCTGGCGAGAAGGACCGGCCTTGGGGTTGGGCCCAGAAGCAAGGCAGGTTCTTGACGTTTTGGAGCGGGAAAGAGGTCACAACTCTCGACGCTCCTCTTCCTTCCAACACGGGGGTGCTCTGGCTTGCTGTCGGTACCAGCTCCCCCTTCTCAGGTGGTGGCCCGCCCCTAAAGCTTGAGCTAAGTATCCGATCTTTTCAGTTCCGTGGCTTTCACAAACAGTTTTCGTGGCTGGCGCGCGCCTGCACCCGGGGCTCATGACTCTTCCGCGCATCCTGGTACCCATGTTTGTGCTTTGTTATTTTGACCCCTGGCTTCTCATGCCCTTGCCCCTTTCTTCTCGCTCATTGCTCATGCCTGCCTGTCTAGGGCAGCGTGCCTCCTCCAGCAATGTGGTACCATTGGGGCAAGATTTGTTTATCCGCGCCCTGGGCATACCATCTGTCAAAATACGGTACTGCCTGTGAGAACATGCTAGTTTTGAATCGCAGTCCAGAGGTTCCAGAGAGCACTTCTCTCATACGATGATGTGAGCGTTGGCGTGGGTGACGTTCTTCATTGCAGATTTCTGCCTCGGCGGCGGCGACGACCTGTGACTCTGCCGCTAGTGGCTGTATTCTGGCCGCAAGGCCCTGAATCCATTACCTTGAGGGTTTGGGCCCGCCGATTCTACCTGAGTCATTCGGTGTGGACACGGAGCGTGTCGGCAGCATGTCGAGTGCAGCAAGGTTAGGGTACGTCATGCGATATTGACGTCGTCGTCATGCAGTAACCACGCGAAACAGAAAGTCGGCACATTATTGGGACCTGCAATTCGCAAGTGTACCTGTTCCATGCGCTCTGCTCATTCCTTTGTGGAGCTAGGGCTTCAGAGCTTTCGACGTTGTTGGCAATCAGCCTCTCTCTCTCTCTTTCTCTCCCCCTCTCTCTGCTGATTGGTACTTGCGAGGATGCAGTCGCTGGCGCCACGCAAGACGAGCGTGCCTTGAGCCCGTCTTCACCAACGGGTTTCGCGCTTAGACTGTGCTGATCGGATTGGGGTGTAGTCATCCAGATCAATCGACTGTCTACGTGCAGCCTCAAGTATCCCAGTGTTTAATCGCAAGGTTTTCGTGTATGTTCCCGTCGACAAGCAGTGCTCCTTCTTCCTTCGATGTTTTTCCTCGGGTCGAGGTCGAGACTACAATTTCACGCTCTGGACGTGGAGGCTGGAAGGAGGTAGACTGGAGGCAGCGCCGGCTCTTTGATGTGCATATTCATAGGTGGGTTCGATGGTTAACTCGGCGGGCCCGGTCAGGGTGCGAGACAAGCATACGAAGCCACACATGTGTAACCCATGTGGACTACATGTGCGTGCCGTACACGCCATGCACCAGGCACCACACACAGTGCACACTGACACGTTCAATGAGGCCCAGCGAGAGCATGGTCATACGATCTGGAAGCACATAGAAGCACGCATGGAAAGCAGGGCGAATGCATGATATATCGAACGCCGAAGCCCAAGCCGAGCTAAGCCACCTTTCGATCTAACCTGATGTTACAGTTAAAACTAGCGTCACATCGAATGCGGGTTCTCGATACGCTCAGTTAAGCGACATAATTCATTCCACCCAAGGCAAAGGTGGAACGCTCCATGAAACATGTACTTCTGATCCCCAGTGCTCAGATGAAGGTATGGCAACCTGAGGCAAGCATTGGCTCGACCATCGACGGTATGCTAGTCCAAGAGAGCAGCCTCCCACATAGCCAAAACGATACTGCGCTGAGCCAAACCGATGCGAGTCACAGGGAAATTTAGAGCTGATGTTAAGGTAACTCTGGCTAGGCCAGGGTAGACGTAGCCAAGCGACACTGAGCTTAGTATGTTTCGAAGAACGCAGGGGGGGCCCAAGCGAAGTCAATATTTGCAAAGCTGAGCAATAGAAAGCTATGCTCGGCTGACGCTGCAGGTTCAAACCTAGAGCCAATCCAACGGCTGCAGCTGAAGCCAGCGTGAAATCTGAAGCCGCATCGGAACCTAAAGCCAAAGTCAACACCAACATTAGGGTCGAGCTGAAGCAAGGCAACGCCACTTCCGTGCAGCAGCGGGTCAATGCCGAGTCTCAGGCTTTGGCTCAGGCTACGGCTGAGGCGAAGGCTAATGCTAATGTGAAGGGGCACGTTAGGGCTGATGATGTCAGGCTCAAGTCCATACTTTGCAGTAAGTCTACGGCGCAGTTTGAGGCTAAGGTTCGGGTCCAGGGTGCCCGGGTTCAAGTACATGTTTGAGCCGGAGCTGATAGTTACTCTCACCGCTCAGGCTAGTTCGGAAACCCAGGCACACTCCAAATGGGTACTTTTCTATCAAGTCAACGCTATGACGAATGCTCAGTGTTAAGCTCGATCAGAAGCATGACTTAATACAGAACGCGTTAGCTGTGCTGCTTACGATAACACTAGATGTACCATACCTGAGGAAATCCAGTTATTGACGATGGATGCATCCCCTTCAGCCCTGTCAGACATGATGCTCATGATAGTGATGGGAGGAGGGTAGTCGATAAGCATGTAATGCAGCAGATCGACCAACACTGGTGAACGTAGAGGTGAGCTGGGGGCCTTTTGATGCGGTCTTTGGAACTTCTGGGAGCCCTCTTCAAGTCATCATGGAGGCTCTCGGTCAAAACAGCGGGCTCCCTCAGTGCCAGCCTCCTTTGTCGGAGTCCGGCCAAAAGAACACATTGGGCTTTCTTAGGACGATATAGTGCAATTTTAGGGCCCCTATTGCTTTTGTGGATATCTTTTGTGGTCTTAGGGTCATCTTGATGCCCCAGAAGCCCATCGGAAGCGACTGGGCGGGACTGCCATCATCACTGGCAAACCTGGCGTGTTTGAATGAGTTCGGTCTCTCGAGGGTATCCTCGGGATACTCTGTGGCCTCTTGGAGCCCTCTTGTGGCGGTCTTGAGGCTTCTTGGAGGCATGCTGGACGCCTTCTTGAGCCATATTGAGCTATATTGTGCCATCTTGGAGACCATGTTTCGCCATCTTGGTCCCTCTTGGGGCTATCTTGGGCCATCTTGAACGTTCAAACTGCCCGCGGGGAGTGGGGGGGGATGGGGGTGGGCGGGTCCACACCAAGGGGAGAGGGTATGGGGATGGTCAAAACACCCCCTAGATAGCAAGCCGTCTAGCTCACTCCCACCCGGCCTCCCAACACATAAGCAATACCCGAGCCTCAGCATGTTCACCGGCCGTCTTTGGATGGACCGCTATTGGGAACCAAAACCGCCCCTGTGTGCGAGATGCTGAGGCGAGGTGCGCCACGCGTACCAGGCGCGCCACGCGCGCCAGGCACGCATGGTGCGCCAGATGCGCCACTTGCTCCGCGTGCGCCAGGTGTGCCGCATACTCCGGCCGCGCCAGGTGCGCCACGTACGGGGTGTGTGCAGAGTGTGTCAAGTGCGCCTGCCCACGGACAGCACACATCGAAAAACATGTCGGCCCCCACCGTCCTTGTCGAAAAGCACTGCCCATCATTGTGTCTGGTGGGCCTGCGCACAGCAAGCCATACGACACCACCCCCGCCGTCTCTGTCAAAAACCACTCGACAGTGATCGCGGGGCGGCCGCGCATGATCCAGATTTTGCCGCGATGTGCATTTGTTTTGTTGTTTTGGTTAGGGATGGTCGCCCTGCGCGCAGCAGGCAATATGCTGACACCCCAGCCGTCCCTGTCAAAAACAATACGAAGTGCTCGCGGGCCTCACGAACAGGTCTCAAGACTTTGCCCCACAGTGTACAGTGTATTGGTTTTTGGCATGGATGGTGGGGCGGGGCCGCATCGGGTTGGCCGCGCATGCTCCACATGTGGAGGCAGAGTGTTTTGTATTGTTTTTGAAAGGGATGGTTCGGTGGGGTGATCATGGTTCCTGGTTGGCCGCCGGTCGCATGGGGGAGGGGGCGTATATGAATAGGGGACAGTGGTCAAGCCACCCTTCGAGCCGCAAGCCGCCTCGCTGGTTCCCACCCGCCCTCCCAGCACAGAGAAGGCACCCGAGTCTCGGCATCCACGGATGGGCGTCTGCTGGGCACCAGCACAGACGCCAGGTGCGCGACGCTGGCGAGGTGCGCCGCGCGTGCCCCGTGGCGCACGTGCTCCGTCCGAGGCAGGCGCGCCGCGTGCGCCGCCCGAAAACATTGGGAAAAATGTGAGGCGTTCCGAATAGGGCCTTGCCTCCGAGGATCGAAGGAGCTGCCCTTGCTTCCGCGGCGAGAGGTCGGCGGACGTAAAGCGAGGCCGCCTCCGCCGGCGGAAGCCAGCGGAAGCTCGGCGGAAGGTGGCGGAAGTAAAAAGCCCCAGGAAGGCGATGACGAAGATGACGCCTCCAAGTACGATCCCTCCCGTCTGGTTCGAGCAGTTGTGTTCGGCAGATTCAACTTCGAGGGCCCCCGTCATAAAGAGGTCAACTCCCTCCTGGGACTCTTACGTGAGGATTTGAGGCAGCTCTGGCAGACCATGGACCCCGAGACCCAACAAGAAGCCCGTGATGCCCATGCCCTGGATGATCCCGAATCCACTCCGACCCGTCCGTGGCTTCGATGGCTGTGTCAGGTCTCCCGAACTCATCTTCGGCAAGTGCGAAGGTATGCAACCGAGGATGAAACGAAGATAGCCGCGGGCGTGGTCCCTGCCCCTGAGGCGATGATCAAGTGCCCAGTGTGTCGCCGTATGTGTCAAGGCACCAAAGGGTTAGCCAATCATATGTTTTCGGTCCACAAGAAGTACGCCAACCCCACGGACCTCACAGATGACCAACTGAGATCCCTGAGGTGCCCCAGGTGTTCTACTTCCTTCAGCCGAAAGGATACAATCGTTCGTCATATTCAAAAACATCGGTGCCGTGTACCACAGGCGTGCGAGGCTCAAGACCCAGAGACGGCAGCTCCAGACCTACCAGGCCCGCCGGCTCCGCCTCCTCCGCCTGCCGCACATGTTCACCCCGATCGCGGAGATCTCCAATGGTGTGAAGTGCAGCGCGGAGGGCCCCCCCGAGGGACGGACCAACGAGGAGAAGGAGACGACTCCCAACGGCAAGCTCCAGTCCTTGATGTGCCGCCTGCTACTTCAGCACGAAGCCGCACACCAGGCCGCGGCCCGAGACGACAACCTGACGCTGACCTTGAAGGAAGGCCAGAAGCTAGAGGTGGCGCTGGAGACGGGCTACTAGGAGTACGTGCGAGTGGGCAAGTCCGCTCGAGAGGGCGAAGACTTCAAGGGCCACCCGATGGGCAAGAAGCCAGATGCCCTCCTGAATATGGTCGTTTTTCGGATCTCCGAGGCCGCAGCCACCAACCGCGAGTGGCTGATGAAGGCAATCGAGCAGGGCCCCCACTCACAGGCGGCCGCCGAGGCCGTCGGTGTTCTAGAGAGGTGGGGCCAGCTCGTTCAGAATCCAGACGCGATCTTGAAGGCCACCAGATGCTTCAAGATCAGGCTCAACACCGAGGGCGAGGATCAGGTGCGCTGGATCTTCGCGTGCAACCACCACCCCGACCTGAAGACCGCCCTGAAAGTGCTGCGCCTCAACGGAGGCATGGAGTCCGTGGCGATCCTACTCGGTCACGATCGCGGCCCGAGGTCAAAAGTAGCAAAGCAGATCGAGCATCTCGCCTTCAGGGACGATGGCAAGACGAAGTCCGCAGGCAAGAAGGAGTCCAGGAAGTAGCTGTGCCTCGCCCCCGCGTCCGTGGAGCCCGTGGAGCCCAGGCGCCCTCGAGCCTCACATTGGCGGCCATTTTTGATCGACAGAGGTCAGCGGCGGGACGATAGCTTGGCAGTTTTGTGCGTTCTAGTTGGGTCTGAACGCATACCTCCACATCAAATTTCTGACGTTGGTGAGCGACGTTGGCGTGGAGCTCAGGATTTGCCTCATTTTCGTGTCTGGGTCCGTGGGCGGACCGAGCATGCCAATGAGATCGAGGGTGTACCCTGAGGCTCCGCTCGTGCCGCCGTCGCCGCCTGCTTCTCCTTCGGTCTTGTTTCCTCGATCGCCCTGTTTGGGAGGTGCTGCCCCGAGGCCCTAGGGGGGGTCCGAGGGCCGCGCCCGTAGTGCCGCCTCCGCAGAGGCGGGGGCGCGTGGGTGCGGGGCCCTGGCTCCCCGATCTTCTCGCGCGTTCCTGTCCTGGGCCCATCATCTAAAATGCAGGTTTTGAGATGCGCCGATTCCGGTAGGTTTTCTATGGCCTCGCACGAAGCGTCCGATTGAGCGTGCTTGGGCGCAGTGCTGTGAAAAAAGGAAGCTCGGCGGAAGGTGGCGGAAGTAAAAATGCGCACCGAAGAGACGAAAACGTTTTTGGGTACATGGTTTTCGGAATCGGACATGTCGACCCCCCACCATGCTTGCCGAAAGCCAGTGCAACGTGGTGGCTGTGGGCACGCGCACGGCGGGCAGCGCGCCCGAGGCCTCACAGGGAGTGTCGCGGCGATGCCCCAGGGCGGCTGGGCGTGCTCGAGAGTGTCGAGGAATTCTCGGATCTTGCGAGTCTGGACCTCTGCAAGAGTCTCAGCAATATTCAGTATAGCGAGTTCGACGGGAACTGATCACTCTCCACCTCGTGCTTCGCGGCACGGTGGTAAACGTAACCAATGGTGTTGTGCTGTGGCAGCAGCGGCGATCGCCATCGGCTTGCACATGTTACGCGTAGTGCATTTTAGTGTCTCGCGTGTTCACCAAAGACCTTGACCCGAAATTTGCGAATGGCAGCGAAGGGCATTCGTCAGGGAAGTCTTGGGGTTGGCTCTGGTGATCTGATCACATTTCGTGCTCTACGGGGGTGGGCCGCCTCTGAAACTCCCCCGCACGGGTATCTTTGAGGGGGTCTTCGTCCCACATGACCGACAGCATCGCGCAGGGACCAATACCACAATGCCCTGATTGTGAGGGTTTATCTTGACCTCCTGGGGAGTTGGATCATAGGATGACAGTTGCCAGGTGTGTACTCCCGCCTCGCCTCTTTTTTTCACGAGCTTGCCTGCCGTCGCCGAGCTGACCCTTGACAGGATGGAATCGCTATGTCGACATTTTGTTGCCTGATGCCAGGCCTCTTCGATCTCGCTGTGCGCTGTCCACTGCGCTTTCGCTCCGGGCCAGGGACCCTGGTGCGGTCAAGAGACCGCTGCTGCTCACCGCGCAACGCGCGCCAATGCGCTTCCATGCAAGGCGGCATCGGGAGTTTCCTGGAACACCGACACAAATACCAATCTGAGCCTCCAGCGATTAAGGGTACACTGAAGAGGCTTTTCGGGCGACATCTTGAATGCCGTTCTCTTACGTTTCATCTTCGGAGGAGATTGTCTGCCCTGAGAAGTGTGGTCTTCTCTTCCGTCCGTCGCGGGTTCGACCTGTATCCCACGCGGATTCGGCGTTGCTCCCACGCGGATTCGGCGCGGATTCGACGCGGAGCCGACGCTCGGCACGGTTTCGGCGCGCCTCGCGTCGCGAAGATGCAGCGTTAGCGTTATGTCGGGCCTGTCCCCCTACAGGGGGATTTTCGACGAAAAATAAACAAATACCCCAAACATGCCCCAAAAAGGTAAACAATTCTTCAAAACATAGTCCCCAGACTATTTTTGGATTTTTTGTTGGATTATTTCTGGGGTATCTTTTATCTTTCGTCGAAAATCCCCCTGTAGGGGAACGGGCCCGTCTTAAGCGTAGCGTTCTTCGCCTGGCCACGACCACGGCCACGGCCACGGCCACGGCCACGGCCACGGCCACGGCCACGACCACGGCCACGGCCACGGCCACGGCCACGGCCACGGCCACGGCCACGGCCACGGCCACGGAAACAGCCACCGCACGGCGACGGCCACGGCCACGGCCACACCACGGCCACGGCCGCAGCCACGGCCACGGCCACGGCTGGCCGGCCAAGGCGCGCGGCAGAGGCCGTCGGAGTCCGGCAGCCCCGGCGCAGGCCAGCCCGGCGGGTTCCCGGACCAGCTATGCGAGGGGCTGCCGCCGGCCGCGCAGCGCCTTCGGAGGGTGTCCCGAGGAGGTCCCCGCGGGCCCAAGGCGGCCTCCAGCGCGCCCCCCCCCCCCCCCGAGAGCCCCAAGGGTCCCAGGGCTCCAGAGTATTCGATGCGGAGGACGAGGAGGAGGATCGGGAAGATGAGGAGGAGGAGGAGGGGAAGAGGAGGAGAGGAGGAGGAGGAGGAGGAGGAGGAGGAGGAGGAGGACCAGTGCAAACCCAAGACGCACCAACGATGTTGAATAAACCGTCCCTCCAGGTTCCCTCTTCATAGGCCCCTACAGGAAGTTTTTTCATTGCGGGAAGAGCACCAGAGGGTCCCAGGGCTCCAGAGTTCGGGGCACGCTGTGCCAGGAGGGAAAGAAGCGCACAGACACAATCATCATCGTCGATCCCCCAGGAAATGTGGGAAGGTGTGGGCAGGGGGGGGAGGACACAGACCCCAAAAGTATGGGAAACCATGGGGGATCCTTGTCCTTGTGTGGACTTATTTGCGTGTCCTCCCTCCCCCCTTCAGCTGTGCCGGGGGCACCCTCGGCACGCCCCGGCTGGGGCATCGACAGAGGGCGCGCGCACGAGCTGGCATCTCTCACGCCCGTGCCTGCACGTCCCTTAGCACACTCCTGGGGTGGAATTCTGGGGGGGGCTGTGGGTGCGTATTGTCGGACGGGAGTCCCCGCGCGAACGGGAGCCCCCCTCGGGGTCCGACAACTCGCGCCCATACGGTAGAGGGAAACAGTTACTGAACACTCCCCCTCCCCCCAAACTCAATGTTTGCACGCGCGGGGGAGACTGCTGTCGAAGTGCATCTCATCAGACCCACCGCCAACTTTGAACATTGGGGGGAGGGGGAGGCGTTGACGGATGAATGTGGCATGTGTTCGCTAATTTGTTCCGAGGCCTGTACCTACAGTGCGTTCATCGCCTTGCCCTTCCCCATTCCTCCTCCCTATAGGTTTGGGTGTGTGTGTTATTCGTTGGTCAAGCGTTGTCCGCCCCAAGCTGGGTGGCCCCAAAGCGGGCCCGGCGCAACTGTTGGACCTGGGGATGCGGCTGTGCTCTGCCGGAGGCGGCCTTCAGGTCAGAGGCGGCGGCTGTCAGGGCTGTCCACGGTGTCGATGGATTCGATGGCGCGTGCCGATGTCGGCCGGTTTTCCGCGGGTTGGGGCTCAACTAGAAAGATTCGGTCAGGAAGGCGATGCGATCGATTTACGATCAACGGTAGCCTGATGACAGCTATTATTCGATGCGGAGGACGAGGAGGAGGATGAGGATGAGGATGAGGAGGAGGAGGAGGATCAGTGCAAACCCAAGACGCACCAACGATGTTGAATAAACCGTCCCTCCAGGTTCCCTCTTCATAGGTCCCAAAAGGAAGTTGTTTCATTGCGGGAAGTGCCCCAGTTGAAGACAACCGTCTGAGAATCGTCAGCTGTGCCAAAACATAATTCCTGAGGTTTCAGCGCTATGGATCAATGTTATTGTTGCGTCCTGGCAATCTAAGCCATGCCAGAACATTGTTCTTGGGACTTGAGCACCGCGAATCAACTTGATCGTTGCGGTCTGACAATCCTAAATAGCACCAGGAAGCCATTCCTGTGATTTCAACCAGACGAGTCCTTTAAGCGGTCGCAAACTTTGAGGACGAATGTGCACGACGCATCCTTGAAGCTGCCGTTAACTTTGAAGGCGAATGTGCGCGGCGATGAGGCGAGAGCCACATGTTGAAAAGGAGCTCCACTCTATCCTCGAAGCTGTTGCAAGCTTTCCAGGCGAGTGTGTGCGGCGCTAACACATTTTGAAAACCACCCGCCCTCCACCTTGAAGCTGCGGTAGAGTTCTCAGCTTCATAATGTGGTGAGGAAGTCTTAGGCGACACGCCCGGGCCGCCCTGCCGACACGTGTGGAGGCGCGACAGATTTGTAGGTGTGTGTATATGTATATATATATATAGATATATACACATTTGTGTGTATATGTACATGTACATTCACAGGCATATATATAGAAGTGCACGTGGATGTATATAGTTGTGTATATATAGAGATGTATCTCTCTCGGAAGTTGGAGGGTGAGATCGCAGTGGAACGGAGACCCCCAACCGGGAAATCGTTTCGATTTGTTCGTGTCGTGCGTGCGGGCGAGGCGAAGCTGCGAGGGCGCGCGAGAGGAATGAACCCGCCGCTGCTAGGGCGAAGTCAAGACAAATGATTCTCCCCCGCCCGTTCGGCGGTGGCTCGCGGTGTCCCGCGGTGTCGTGTCCCGTGGTGTCCCGTGGTGCCCGCCGTTGCTAGGG